TGAATCAACTGCCCGGTCGATTCAATCCCAAGGTCCTTAGCTGGGAGCAATGGGAGGAACGACTGGGATCCTTGGGCTTCCTAGCCCTTGATGTCAGACCGGTGTTCAAAGAATCTTCTAGGGTTACCAAAAAGGTTCTGGCAGAGGTCCGTACCATCCTTCCACCGGGCTACAAAGTCCTTTCCACAACCACCTGGCCTAACATCATTGAACCCCACCAGGGAACCCGGTTGGGTTTCCATATTGCGTCTCTGGAGGGAGGTATTATTTTTCCTCTCCGCCCCCTCCTTATTGAAATCTGTAAAAAGTTTCATATTTTGCTCGGTCAGCTTACTCCAAACGCTCACCGGTTCTTAAATTGTTTTGTTAATATCTGTGAAAATCTTAAAATCAACCCTTCCCTTGAGCTTTTCCTCCACATGTACGAAGTTCTGCCCGGGACTAGTAATTGCCCGGGCTTCGTTTATTTTCATTCACGTAATAAGAGGAGTTTTGTGACCGGTCTTCCCCCTAGCCACAAAAGATGGAAGAAGAGATTTGTTTTTGTTGAATTCCCCCCTGACCAATTTCCTTTCTCTAACCCTGAGTGGGCTGACCGGGTTATAAAACCTGAAAGGGTTCATCCAGAGCCCACCAAAGATTTTGAGGACGCCTGCGAGAAACTTCTCAAGGGTGATTCTGTGACCGGGAAACCTTATGCCTATGGAGGCTGGGTATTCCGGCTATCTAATCCGGATGGGGGTGAATCTGCGACCCATGACGCAGAAGATGACCGGGCAAACTCCCCGGATGGTCATGCTGAGGCCAGTTCTCATCGTCCAGGTCGATCATCCTCTCTTAAGCTTCTTAATTTCATTTTCTTTATTTTATGTACTCCTCGAAAAATAACCGGTCATCTTTTGCTTTGTTCTTTTTCAGACATGAACTTCAACAGGATGACCACCATCATCGAGGATGACGACGATGATGTCCAAGTTCTCCACTCCAACCGGTCTCCTAATCGCAACTCTCCCTCCCCTCCTCAAAACCTTGGAGTTGAAGGGGCCTCAACTGCTCGGTGCTCTTCCTTTGATGATCTCATTCGAGATAAGCAGGTGAAGTCACCCTCAGCCCTCCATTTCTCCGAAGGCGACCGGGTTGAATCCAAGTCCAAGGAGGCCAGCCATTCTTCTTCCCGTGCTAAGGGCCAGAAAAGGAAAGGCTCCTATAAGAGTTCAAAGGGGGCAAGAAGAAGAAGACCGGGTCGCTTGACTTGGAAGGGGAGTCGGTAGAAGAAGCCTTCCTTGCATTGACCAGAAGACTCCAAAAGGTACGCCATCTCTATTTTTTCGCCAGGTTTAATTATTAGCCCGGTCTCTAACTGACAAACTTCTTTTCCAGGTTGGAGTCCTATCTGAAGAGATTGGCCAGTCACTCATCGAGCCAACCAACCAGGTCTCCCAACTGAATCTCCTGCTTGACTCGGCCAAATCAGAAATAAATGACCTGGTCGAGAGGGAGAGAAGGTTAGAAGTAGAGCTGAGGGCTGAGAGGGCCTTGCTGGAGGAGGAAAGGGCCAGATCTGCCCGGTTGGAGGAGGAAGGCAAGAGGAAGGTCGCTGAGCTTGAAGAGGCGTTGGCCCAAGCTGAAGAGACTGCCCGGTCAAAAGAGGAGGCCTTTCCTGATGATGCTGCGATCTGGGCCGGCTGCCATCACACTGAAGTCGCCCGGTCCATTCTCACCAATCCGGAGGACACCATGGATTTTTTCAAGACTATGTACAAAGAACCGGAGGGCATGAGGATGATAACTGAGATCGGGTCATACGGCTTCCAGTGTGGCCAGAAGGATGAGAGGTCCCTTCTCTATGCCAGGCTCCAGAAGAGGGACCCTTCATTTGACCCGGCCAAGATGAAGCTTCCTCCTTTGTACAAGGAAGAGCCAGCCCCCCCTTTCCCTTTGCAGTAGGTTAGGGTAGATAATTTAAAAAACTTTGAATTTTCCCAAGGCCTGGGGGATGTCCGGCCTACTTCTGACTTGTTTAATATTGTCTTTTGTTTGGCATGGTTTTCAATTTACCAGCTTGTTTCTTCTTTCAGTTTGCATGGTTGTCCTTTTCTATGCATGGTTATTGCTTTTCTTTTCTTCTTCTTGATCGCCTTTGAATGAACTTCCAAGTCAATAAGACTAACCGGCCTTATACCTTAGGAATCGTCTTAAAAAACGCCTAGGTCATCTCATGTCCTGGTCTTGAAAACGCCCAGGCCTCACTGGCTTGGTTGACTATTTTCTTGAATATGCTTGATTCCAAGTCAAAAGAAGTAACCGGCTTTATCCTTTTTAGTTGTCCAGGTCACCTCATGTCCTGGTCTTTGGTTAACGCCTTAGAAATGTCTAGGTCTGGTAGGCTTTGTTGTCAGCGTCCAGGTCTTTTCATGTTCTGATCAATTCCATCTCTTGCAAATGTCCAGGTCATGTGATGTCCTGGTCAAGTACAAGCCTTGAAAACATCTAAGTCTTGCAACCTTGAAAATGTCCAGATCTTGTGGCCTGACTAGTCTTCTGGACCGGCTTGTGTCTAGGTTGAACTGCAACAAACGTCTATGTCATCTCATGTCCTGGTGTAGTAGGCTAGGTTGGAAGTTTTGAAGACCACTTTAGACGCAAGGCTTGAAAACTTCCAGGTCATCTCATGTCCTGGTCTCTTGACTTGAAAACGTCTAGGTCGGTTTCTTCCTCGCCTGTTTCCTGACCCAGTCAACTTCCAGGTTCTAATGGCTTGGTTGCAATATGTAACCTAGCATGATGTCAAATTTCCTGCCCAGGTGCCGGGTCAAAAATGTGACCGGTCAAAAAATATTTTTTCCAGTTTTGTCTGATTTCATCAAATCCGCCAACTAAAAAGTGACCGGTCACTTTTCTCAAAGTTGACCGGTCAAATTTTCATTTTTTCCCATTCGCATTTTCTTGTCAATCCAGAACATTCAAAAGTGACCGGTCACTTTTGACCATGCCACCATCTTCTCCCCCTCTGGCCTGGGTGTCATGCCTAACAGCAACC